TAAAAGTGCTAAATACAAGAGGCCTGAGAAATAGATCCCTATGGGGCCCCACTAGGAAAACAAGAACTCCATGATGATTACCCATTTACAATTAAATGCTAGGAGCTGTCAGTTCGCTCGTTCTTAATCAATGTCATGTGTGCCATGTTGATTTTGTATCACTCTTGTTTCTTCATCAAAATGTCATAAGGTACCAAGTCAAATGCCTTCCAGAAGTATATTACATTGACATGGTTACCTTTATCAACCAAACATGCAGTCTCATAAAAAAAATATCAAGTTAGTTTGAAAAAGATCTAGTTTCCATAAATCCACATTGATTGGCATTATATTACCCTCTTTTCATTCTTTATTAATCATCTATGATATCTGGCTTTTCATTACTTTGCCCAGAATTAATGTCAAGCTGATAGGGCTATAATTACTTCATCGGTCATCCCATTTGCCCTTCTAAATTACTGGTACAACATTAGCTTTCTTCGAGTCCTCTAGAACTTCCCCCATGTTCAAAGACTTATTAAAAGCAACAAGAACAGTTGAGAGGTTCTCAGCCAGCTCTCTGAAAGCTCTTGTAAACCAGCTATGCAAAATGCCAACCTAAAGCAACCAGTTATTGTATCGTAACAGCATCTTGCTCACTGATACGACATCCTCTGCCTTTCAGTAAACACGGAGCAATGCATTTTGCTGTTAGAAGCAATCTTTCCATTCCCTTCCAGCTATGAACCAATGCCATTGCACAGACACTTTTCTTTCCCAATTTTCACAGAAAGGACATCCTTACTTCCCTTACCACTGGAGCTGTGTTTCTACTTTTGCTTCCCTTCACAACATCTAACATTGCTGCCTTCTGAGAGACCTATTTACTGAGGCCAGGAGCTCCAGAGCGAGGGATAGGGGGCTAAGAGAGCACAGCTCCCATGAAGGCAGGCAGGACAGGGTCTCAAGCACCAGGTGCCTGACTACATGCCTAATGCTTCAGTTGTGAAACACTGCCTGAGAAGTCCTTCTCTGTCATTTCTGACCTTCCTAGGCATTTTATATTCCCTATAGCTAGTAACTCAATCAACAGGCAATTGATAGCCATCACACAAGCACACACTTAGCCCTCAAGAGGTTAACTTTTGGAAGTAACTTTCAGATGTGTCAAAAAACAGCCTATTTCTCAACTGCATCCATTTTAATGTTCTTCATCCAAAGCACTCATGGCACTAATACCAAGTGCCTAAGAACTCCTTCCATCCCAAAGGCACAAGGAATTGTTAATTCAGAGAAGAGACAAAGACTTGCTAACAGCTTTTTGTTTGTTCAGAATGTGTTTACTTCCAGTTGCCAAATATTAACAAAAACATCCTATTACATCCTTCCTCTGTTGTATTTCACAAAGCCAGTAGATGACAAAATATTTGTCCATACGTATTAGCTGTTTGCTTCCAAGCTACAGAAACCTACAGATCACTAAAAGCTGGGCCTGGAAAACACCAGCCCTGTACTTATCCCAGCATGGACTTTCTGAAGTAACCACCATTTGCGTACCTAAAGACATGTGGACCTCTGTGAACAGAGATAAAAGATGGTCAAACGGGCCTGGATGAGAAAGGGACAGCCCTGGCTCTGCAGTGAGTATGAACATTGCCTTTTTTTTTTTTTTCCAAGTAAGTATTTCAAAAATAAGGAATAAAACAAATCCTTACACGTTCCGTAAAATATTCCTCAGTTTTCTTATAACTACGTAACCTCCAAAGAAGAAATGGAAGATGACAACACAGTGTTAAAAATAGCTCCCACAACCCAATTCTGGAGTCAGGGAACAGCCTGTGGCTCTGCGCCAGCTCCCCACCAACAGTTGTGCTGCGCTGCAAAAGAGACCATGAAGGCAGACTAGGGCAGGGGCCTCGTGTCAACAGTAGGAGAGAAACTGGCACCACTTCTTTGCTCTTTCACAGAAGAGAAGGCTGAAGTTCACAGAAATGATAAGGTTTGAAAGAAATGAAAGGACATGCATCTTCACACTACTGTGAACAAGCAGAGTTCAATTAATGCATAATTAAATAGCAAAACTCATTGCTGCAGGATGCTCTAGAAACTGAAAGCGTCAGCAGATTCAGAAAAAGAAACAAATGGCAGCAGATGCAGCAAACGCAGTGGGTAACAGGCACAGGGTCAGGGACAGCCACCAGTCCCAATCTGAAGGTAATGGCTGGGAACCAGAGCAGGCTGACCTGACCCACATCTGCATGTTGCACCGACAGCAGCAGCTGCAGCAGAAGCTGGCACAGTGAGCCACACCAGCTCCCAAAAGAGCCAGCGCAGCACAGATGGGAGCTGATCCTGGTGCAGCAGGCATTCACAAACCCATCCCTGTTACCTGAGGGTGCCAGTGGTGTAGCAGCCAGGTGACAGGTGCACAAGGGACACGTGCAGGCAGGATGGTGGCTCTCACGTGAGATGGTTTAAGGGGACAGCTAAAATGCTGTGGCATTCACAGAATGGCTCTGCTTCCTGCAGCCCTCCCTCCGTGCTCAGCTCATCGAAGGGAAGAACATGATCAACTCTCTGCCCCGAGTCAGCTCTACCCTGACAGCTCACTAGAGATACACGATCGCTCAGTGACATTAAAAATGTCAGCAAACACCGATCAGGCTTGGCAGCAGGGATGTGCTACCAGGCTGGGGGAGGCACAGGGCAAGGTAAAACTTCTGCAAACTCAGTCAAGTGCATGAGCAGCTTTTCTCCCTTTGTCTTTCACAGGAGGCTTTAGCTCAGATCCAAGACATCACGGCAGCAGGCAGGATGGAGCTCAGCATTACTGGCAAGGCCAGACCAGTCCCAGAAGGTTTCCTGGTGCAATACAAGTGTGCTCCATATGCATGAGCAGAGGAACATGCAATACGTCTCGATGCTGCACCACTACACACAGAAACAAACTATGTCTGCCTCATGCACGCACCTGCCCAGCACATGTCCCTGGATTCTGATTTGCAGCTCCCAAACTCAGTGGGATTCTCTCATTATCAGTGGTCACAAGCAGAGACCCAAGTAAAAGCCAACAGGATGCAGGTGGGACCGTTCTGCAGGAAGCTGCTTTCAGTCACGCATGCCATTTACACTCAGATGAACCGTTTTCTCAACATCTGAAAGATCCAAGTCTCCACATTATCCATGACCTAGAAATTAGCAGTTTCACACCACCCCCAACATCTTCACTTCATGGATCAGGTCAGAGGCACTAGGAGGTGTTTCTAAGTCAGGAACTTGCCAGAGGGAGGAGAAAAGGGGCCGCCTGAGCTCCAAGGGAGGAGCAGGGGGGCGAGTCACCCGTCCATCCTTATTTGTCTCATGCTGGGAGCTCAGACACAAGAAACTGAGACTGCTGGGTTCTGCTGCTCACACAGGATTATTTATTCAGGCTGGAAATGCCTTCTGATAAAAACAAACACACCTGCACAAGGACAAGCAGACACAAGCCCCAGCCCGTGTGTCCCATCCTACGCTCTAAGTCTGCAACCCCTGCAGCCAGCTGGGCAGGGGAGCATTCCCATGCTTCCCTCTGTCCTTCAGCCCTGTGCTTGGTGCTTCACCAATGCTCACCAGCCTTCAGCTCACTATCAGAGTTTATGCTGTAGCTCAGTGCATGAACACTTGTCTTGAAGAACGGCTGCTTGTCTGGTCTGCGTTACAACACATCACAGCCCCTGCTATGCTAAATCCTAGAGCCTTGAGCTATGGAAAAGAGCCGTAAGCCATCCATCCATAGACCCAGAGGAGGAGCACAGATGGATCAACCTACTGCTGAGCAAACATCATGGGACACAGGATTATTTTTTTTATTATTATTATTCTGAAGCCATCAACCTGCTGGTTATGTAGCTGCTATCCATTCACCGGAAGTTTAGTGAACTTCAAATGGCGATCATTAATGGTCACTGAACTGCAGAATGCCCCAACGTGCTTTCAGATTTCATTTACCAAGGACCAGCAATCAGCCAAAAGATTTGCTCTGACAGCAGGGAAATACAAGACCCCTTGACAAGTTCAGCCGGGAACGTGCTGCCAGCATCCCTTGTTCAGCTCATGTTCTCCCCCATTTGATGGAACAGATCATGCAAATTGTCCTTCTGTGGCCGCTCAGCCTGTCACTCATGCTTCCATTTAAAACAATAAATAAATAAAAAGAACAAAAGAAAAGCCCATGACTACAACAAGCTGTTTACAGGCAAATTCCACTTACTGAGACCCCTAATTATAAGGAAAAGGCACAGAAACCCAAATAAAACATGAAATTGGATGGGGGAAGGGAACCCTACTCACTCCAAGGTTTAATCAGAAGGACCACCCCAGATACGCTTTGCACAGATCCCAGCCTCCCCAGCCCTGCTACAGCTGGGTATCAAGTTCGTTTTTTCTTTCCACTCCCATTTGCCACTTGGGGCTTCACCATGTTTTTCCATGCTGGTGCATGGCAGGCTGCTCCTTGCCAGTCAGAGATGAAGCACCTCACAGCAAAGTGCAAGGGATTTTGCTCTGCAACTTGATCGCTGGTCTCTTAGGTGGACATGCTGCTGAGACAGCACAGCACGAAGGGAAATGCTCATTTTTATACCAGCATATTTGCCCACTTATCAACCAGAATTTTATCAGAAGGAAAGCATGCTCCTTGGAGCCTTATATGGCTGCAGACAAAACAGAGTGAGCAGAACTGGGATCAACAAAACCCTTGCTGGTGAGAGGCCTTGCAGCATCCCACTATTACATGGAGACACTGCACTGTGCTGCCACAATGGGTTTCTCCCCAGCTGCAGAACATATCCCATCAAGTACAGTAAGACTCTATTAGAGGAGATACAATAGGAGTCAGAGGACTCACTGAGACCAGCTTCTGAGAAAATAACTCATTTCAATGCAAAACAGCAGTAGTTATTAGACACCTCCTTAAGAGGAAAGAAGGAAAAAAAGGGGGGGGGGGAAGACAGAGACCATGGCAGCTTGCACAAAAGTACCTTTTTCAGATTAATCCACTGTTTGAAGTAATCAGCAACCGGCAGCCCTAAGTACTGGCATTGTCCTGGTAACCTGTAAGAGAGAAGAGAGAGCAGGTTTGATTCAATTACTTTCCTGACAACACAAACTCTGTTTTATTAAGCACAGTTCACTCTGAGATGGAAGAGCCCCTCCAGCCTGCAGGAGCAGGCTGCACATCAGAAAGGACAGCAGCAAACAAACCTCACGAGAGCACAGCTTGGCTGAAGCCTGACACACACCCAGCCACAGCCAGGCTGAAGATGCAAAGAGCTGCACACTGTCCCACTGCAGGTTTGAGCAGCATCGGCCAGATCTGCAAGCATGAGTCTTTAACCTCTGCCAACAGGGATCACTGTATGGGAACAGAGGGACACCAAAAGCCCTGGATTTGGAAAGTGGCTCCTTCTGCACAGTGCCAGCCAGGCAGAGAACCCTGCTTTGCCCATGGATGGGGAAGGCTGAGAAGCAAAACCGGGGCTCCAGCTGTGCTAGAGATGAGTTATAGGAGTCCTCTCCAGCCAGTTTGATCCAATCAGGAGTAATTGATGAATCTTGTTCATTCACGTACTGCTGAGCATGCCTGGGGCACTGGTCACAGGATCTTTAACTGAAGCGAAGGAACATCCCAAATAAATATGTCAACTAAATAAATGACTAAATTAGACTCATTTGTGCATGTTAAAAGCCACAACCCCAGGAATTGGCTTTTGCAAACAGAGGGGGTGGGGAAATCTCACAACTTCCTTAAACATGTGGGGACTGCAGGGGAGGAGGGAAGAGCCGCAAGTGCCAGCATCAGCTGCTCCAGCATCTCAGCACACATCTGTCCAGGGCAAAATACAGAGAACCCAGACTGGACTTGAGATTCAGGACTGAAATTCAGGAACAAATTCTGAGCTGAGTGCACCATCAGCCCCTGTACGGTAGCTAAGAGCTCAGCCTATCTCCAAGCCCTCTGATTTCCAGGGCAGCATCCCTTCAGATCTAGAGCAGCTGAACTATGAAGAAACCAAGGGGGGATGCAGACAGCACATCTGTGGGTAACATGAGATTCTGTGTATCACAGTAACCAAAGGAGCGCTGCTACCTAATTCCTAAAGGGAAGAAAAGGACAAAAACTGGCAAACATATTCAAAGGAATCTCCCAGAAATACGTGACCAATGCAGCTGCCATGCCCAGCCCCAGCAGTGAGCTGCCTTTGTGAGCTTGCTTAGGGTGAGGAAGGGAAAGACTGTGCTAAAACCAAGCACCTGGTCCTGTAAAGACATACATAGCCTCATTTAGGAGTGTCAATTTAAGCTATACAGAAACATTTAAATAAAGAGGTCCATAAGAATCTCTTCTGTCAAAAGAATGAGCTTACAGCAGCAGAACCGAGGCGATCTGCAAGGTAAGCAGCACAACCTGACAGCGTGCTCTCATCTCTTGGCACAGCTCATCTAATGCCAGTACCATCACAACTGCATGGCCACCACATAAAAGTCAGCCTGCTCTGTGCCATTACCCGTGTCCATGACGCCCCAGAGCTGAACAGACATAACCAAGCCCAACCAGCATCCTAGGAAAGCTGCTTTCTATGAGGGCCAAATGAAAAAACATCACAAGGAACTATCTCAAAGAAATGATGGGTCTAACAAGGGAATCAGCTCAACCTCTGGGACTGCTCACTTTAGCTGGAGAGGACCACAAGAGCTGTTAGTAAGAAATGTGTTACTAAATGGTTTCCCCTTTCAGCCCAAGAAATCTTCATTAATACAGCCTTCAACCTGGCTCCAGCTAAAGGAATAATTCTCATCCCACCTAACATTTAGACATGGCATAGGACAAGCCAGAACAGAACTGTTCTTGTTAGCCACACGAAATGACAGCTAACCACCCAGTTCAATGAATGACATGAAAGCATTTCCATACCCGTGGGATCAAAAAGGATAGGAAACAGGACAGCTTGGTTCTTCTCCCACCCTGAGACTGATGGCAGTAAGCCCAGGGCGCTGGACAGTGGGACTTTAATTGGAGAAAATAAATGTTCCAAATAAATATGTCAACTAAATAAATGACCCATTTTTGCAAACAAGTAACAACCCCAGAAACTGGCTGTGGAACTGTGTGACCTAAGGACATTCCCCCTCCCCCTCTGTGCTTCTGCTCCCCTCATTTCACATTAGCACCAGAGAGACTTTACCAAGTTTTTAAAGCACTGGCAGCTCCATATTCATACCACAACCTGGGCAGGCTGTCAGCCTCCGCTTCCTGAGCTGGAAGATTCAGGTCGGGTGGCCCCAGGCTATCAGGGAGACAGCCCCTGAGCACCTTGCCCTTACTGAAGTACAGCCCTGTGTTCTGGTGTAGTCCAGGGCTGCAGAGGTCTCGGCATAGACGTGGGGATCTGGGGGCTCTCATTGCACCGAAAGCAGGATCCAGGAAAGCACTCCTAGCTTCAAGGTTGTCACCTACAGTGGGTCCGTGCTCCCTCAACCTAGGGAACAGGCAGCAGTTTCTCCATCACCTTCTCCAGGTTGGAATAGGCATGGCAAACCTATGACTCTACTGGGGAATAAAACTGCCAAGGCCTTTAAGAAAGCATCTCCATTTATTAGAATCACTGTTGATTTGAGCAGCTCAGCTGGACCAAGCTGGACCAGGCTCTGAGCAACCTATCTAGCTGTAGGTGACCCTGTTCAATTGTAGAGGAGTTAGACTTAGACAGCCTTTAAAGGTCCCTTCCAACTCAAATTATTCTATCATTTGGCAAACAGACCTTATGCTCAATATGGCTCCTCATCTGGTAAAATTCAATCTTGATGAGCAGAGCGGCTGTGCTCAAGCAAATAGCTCAGGATACAGAATCATAGAGTCATCAAGGCTGGAGAAGACTTTCAAGGCCATCAGGTGCAAACGTCAACCCAACCTGCCAAGTCCCATCATTAAACCGTGTTCCTCAGTGTCACATGCATGTATCTCTGAAATACCTCCAGGGATGGAGACTCCTCTGCTTCCCTTGACATCAAGTGAACAACAAAGATCCCACCATGCTTCCAGCTTCTGAATGAAGTCTCGCTGCTTCCTCTCCACAAACAATCTCACCAGCCAACGACTGTGCTTCAGGCACTTGCCAGTGAGAAGCCTGAAAATGGCTGCGGGATCCTCCAGCCTCCAATGCAGCTCTGCTTAAGCCTGCACTTCCATTTTCAGAGAGCCCCCTCATCCCAGGCTCTGTTTTCCACCCAGCCCTGGTCCTCTTCATGCTGTGAGGGAAACAGGGGCTGGAGAAGAACGGGATGTAAACGCAAAGTGAGGTCACCTGACTGCATTCCTCCCAGTGAAACCAGTGAGAAGCGCACAGCTCAGCAGTGATAAACGGCCTTGCTTTAGTTATCACTTCCCTTAAGTTAAGGAGAGCAGCCTAGTGATGGATGGGCTGGAATTCGGTTATCGGGGAAGGCTGTCAGCCAGAGTTGCCTATCTCCACACACATTTAGCAGGGCATCATTATGCGATGGCATGGAGTTAAAATATGACCAAGGGTATTGAAAGTAAGAGAGAATGGGATTAAAAAAAAAGAAAAAAAGGCAAATTGAGCAACAATAAAGGAGCGTGAGGCAAGAACGTTATCGTACGAGTGACACCTTTTATCTCGGTCTGGTTAGCTAGAGCAGGGCACAAATTGGTCCTTCCTCCACTATTGTATCCTCTTGTACAAACAGAGGCAGATAAAATGTGTCACCGGTGCAATAGCATATCAATTTAACCCTAATTATCTAGGGGGTCAAACTAAGAAATAGGGGTTTCTCATTTCAACAGGTTCCTCCGCCTCTGCTCAGAGCCACCACATTAATATGGAAGGGAGGGTTGGCCATAATTGATTTCCGTCACTCAGGTGGTCCTCGTGTATAAAAAATTAATGCTTGATTCTCCCAACTCATCAGAGCTGGTTAACGTCCATCTGCTTCTGGGTTCAAGATGTCAGGAGACAAAGAAATTGGGCCACTTTCTACACACTGGGTGTATTGATATTGAGGCAGTTTAAAGAATAAGTCCCTCTTTGGGAAAGATAAAGGGACATTAAATCTTGATATTTATAGACCTGGTTGTAGCTTTCAAAAAAAAAAAAATCACGCACCGGAGACCTCAAGTTGGAAGAGATGCAGAACATTTTAATTGCCAACCTCGCTGCACTGAGCTGCCAAGGAGAGGGCAAGCATGCTTCTGCTCTGGAAGTCCTCTGCTGAAGGAGCATGGGAAGCTTCAGTGGAGATGCTGAGATGTGGCAGCACAGAGCAGAAGCAAGGTGTCACCCAAGGGAGTAGGACAGCTGCCAAGAACAAGGCTTGGTCAAGGGCTGGATTAGCCCCTGCCAGGTGACTGCCTTCTCTGCGCCTCCATCCCTCTGCCTCCATCACTGCACTTCGCAAGCAGCAGCTGTACCAAGACAATACCTTTTGAGAGGGTTTGAGAAGCCCTAGGCTCTTGCAGAAACCCTGAGACAGGTGCCTTCTCTTCTCCCCCCCCCCCCATCTCGCTCTGCCTTCCTTCCATCCTTTCAGTTCTCTCAGCCACCCCCAAACTTGTCACAGCGCAACAAGCCTACGAGCTGCACATCAGCTTTAAATATCAGTGTGCGTGAAGCTGGGACATGAGAGCAGGGAAGTGGGAACAGACAGAGCCAGCCTCCATCGCCTGTCAGTGAGCACTAATGAATTTCAACACCAGCAGCCATTGCTTCAGATGGGCTGGCGAGAGAAGACGGAGTTGCAGTGAGGAGCCTTTGCAGGAGCAGCCTGCCTTGTTTCAAAGCCCCTCTGTTAATAAATGTCAGAGCTGAGCTGGCTGCAGCCCTCATACTGGGATGAGTGGTTTGGGGGCAGGGGGGGACAGGCAGCTGACAGCATGCAAGTACTTGGGCTGGCACGGCTCCTCCTGCTGCACTCCCAGATGGGAGCCAGAAAAAAGTCCCAGAACCCAACGGGCACACATCCACTGTAGGGAATCAGAAACAACCTCCAGAGGAGCCACAACTGCAACCCCATCATCACCCAATGCCACTTGCTGG